TGTTTTTCTGTAAAAGAACAACTTGTCACCTCATTTCCCGCCTTGTTCATTTCTCGATTCATTTTTTTGTCCTTGCCCGAAAGGGAGCGGGATGCAAAACGAACAGAAAATGTAAGAAGTCAGTTGAAATCGAAGAAACCCAAAGAAATATCTTCCCTGTTCTTGGGTTGGTACTGTGTGCCATTTAGTAACGAGGATGCAAAAACTAGCAAAATTCCATTATCCTTTGTCTCCTCTCCAGCACCATATCCGAGAAAGGAGCAACAGGGTATCCAACTGTGAATAGCCCCATCATTCTTTAGTATTATTGTGCTTTTGAGCTGTGCTCGCTCTTCTGGCACGGAGCACAGCATCATTAAAACTAGATATTGCGTCCACATATTTGCAGAGCCATGAGTTCTAAAGGGATACAGTTTTTAGTAATGTAATAAATTTGTTCTCATAGACCTCCCCCCCTTTTTTTTCTCCACAATTCAACATATATTTTTGTAATTGCTTAGTATTCCATTGCCTTTGGAAATAACTCTTAGATGAATATTGTTTTTAAGCCATTCAATTCCTCTTAAATTTGTGGGCCCACTGGAAGTCCTCTATGTGTCTATTTAAGGAAAAAAAACTTAAATCATATTACTTGCCTAAATGGCTTTTATCTAAGGATTTTTACAGCCCTAAGAAAAAAGGAAGTCTGGCGTATTCCGAGGCTCAGCTGGAAAGGAGTCTGTTAATCGGTCGGTGTGTCAAAATGCTCATGTGACCTTGGGCAAATGGCAGAACCCAACAATGCCTCATCACTCATGGATGGGTGATTGTAGAGAAAAATGGCAACATAGTGTATAAAGAATTCATTTTCATAGTGAGAAGTACTGGGTGATCTGTGTGACTACGGTGGAATCAGAAATGAGGCTAGCTTAAAAAGTTGCTATTTAAGTGGAGACTATTTCAGTATGGATAGAATAGACATAGAAAGAGGACAAATATTAATTGTCTTGCCATCATTCTATCCATCTTGTTCAAGCTGGCATTTAAGTGCAGGGTAAAAGCACTTAAAGACATGAAACGTTTTCCACGTTATTTGATTTGTCCGCTGTTAAAACAATTTATCACCTTAAATGTCATCCAAAGCTTTATCCATCCATTTTTCCAGAACGCCTATTCCCAACAGGGAATTGCGGGGGGGCTGGAGCCTATCCCAGCTGACCACGGGCAAGAGTTGGGGTACGCCCTGGACAGGTTGCCACTCTAACGCAGGGCCCAGAAACCATAAAATTGGCTTTCAGATTTAACTGTTTTCGTCCATTAACCTAATTCTAATTCTTTAAAAACATCTTTTTCCCCCAATGTATTTCCACACACACTCCAACATTAGTTAGACCTCTGCAGTGATTAAAGTGCCAAATTTTCTTTTATAACCACACTCTCCAGATGTCGGGCACCAGCTAAGTGTTATACACTGGTTTTCCATCGAAGCTTTTTGGGCCGCAAGCACAGGACTTAGTTTTTATTTCATCTTGTTAGGTAACGAGTTTTGAAACACTGATTATATTTCACAGAAAGCGGCACGACGCCGGAGAGACTGAAGCTAAAAGTCGAGGCAGACTTCTGAATCTCAAATTGTGAGGGGAATTTCCTCAAAAGCTTTGGTTTAATTGGCTTTAGGCCTACGGATGCATCTCAGGCCTCATGGGCGTAATGAGTGACGAGGCATGCCCCCGTGACCCAGTGCTGGTGGGAGAGAGGAAGGGGAGGAGGAGGATGATGACTAAGCTGTCATCCAGGTTGATGAATGAATCCCAGCCCCTTTAGGACACTCTGACAGCACTGGAGAGCTCCTTCAGTGATGTACTGCTTCACATGTAGCGTGTGTGTGTGAAGGAGTGTGTGTGTGTGTGTGTGTGAAGTCTCTCCTCCGTGCAGCTGTCGGGACTACGCAAGCAGCACTGTTCTTTGCAGTTCACATACCCAATTAGGCTGATCACTGAGCAACATTCAGTCTGCCCAATATCTCTTTATGTGCAATCCATTCTTTAGAGCAATAGCTTAATTGAATAAAACATTTGCATATATTTAAATGTGTGTGCATTGCACGCACACATTACTATAGCTCAGCTGTCACTGCTTTACTAAAGGCTTAATATTTTTTGGATGGCTTTATATCTGCTGCTGTAACACTGACCATCCCCCCCTCTGTGGATCTAATATACTGTAATACGACTGTAAATATGAATTTGCTCTCATAAGCAAACCTAGTTTTGTATATCTCAGCCTCCGTTCACTTCATATGTAGAATGAAAACAACAGCAATCAAGAACTTAGCATCAGGGAACAATGGAGGAATGGATAAGCAACATTATCTTCTTTGTTTTTTTTAAATTCTTGGATCAGAAGGTTTTTTGCTTGATTGAATAAAAGAATTGCAGACATTTAAATGTGTGTGTATACACACCCACATTACCAAGAGTTGGGGTTAGGGTTATTGTTAGACCCGTTAGATGGTCCTCGTGTCAACAAATGCATAGCCCGTGTCTCATTTACATTTAACTCCAGAGAGTTTAGATTAATTTATGACTTTGTCTATCAGACAGGCGAGCAGCATCACCGCTAACACTGTTATTGTTTCACACAGTGTGAAGAAACCTGAGCCGTAGTCTATCAAAGCTGCTATTTGGTGAGAGGTGAGGCCCACTGCCAGTTCATCGAGACAAACCAACCATGTACATACACATTCACTCTAATAGTATTCTTAGAATCCCCGGATGATTCAGCGTGCACGTTTTTGAGCCGTCACAGAAAGCCGGAGCAAACCCTCAGAAAAAACATATATACCAAACAAAGAAAATATCACGGAATTCCAACCAGGAGTCCTCTTACAGAGAAGGGACGGTGTTATACACCAAACCACCTCTCAGCCCGTATAAAGACAAGTCAAGCATATTTTCGCTTATTTGTACTTGTAACTCAGCCGCCATTGTTTCATGGTGAAGGGGCCATTTTCATCCTGATCTTTCAATCAATCTGCTTCGAGTACTGATGTATTTTAGGTGCGGGAGTTAAGCTCCAAGGGAAACGGCAGGGAAATTAGTGGCAGCTCTTTGCTATTAGTGGTAGTATTTTAGTAATTTAGTGACAGTGCATTTTATTGTCCATATTGTTATTTTTGTCTCGGAATGTTACACAATCAGGCATTAAAGGAAGCGATGACAAATGATCCGGAACAATTCCCGTGTTGAAGAGTCGTGCTCATTATCATTCATGACCGAGACGGGAGCCCGTAAAGGTCACGACTCAAATTCCTCCAGCATATGTGTCCATCAGCAGCACTGCCTCCACACTGCCTTTTTGGCAGGACCGACCCGCTTCCTCATTTAGAATCTCTTTGGATCAGCACACGAGCCAAAGACACGAGGAGAGAAAAACTACATTCATTCATCCCCTTCACCTCGCCGAGGCTTCAAAGTCCTGGCACGGCCTCCTGGGAAATTCATCCCAGTGAGCTTCCCTTTTTTCCACCCTCGCCTCAGCACAATCTGAAGGCAGGCTGAGATCATAGTTAGGACCCCTGCACTCTCCAGAAGCTCCAGCAGGTTTTATCCGTGGTCTCATTGGATTAGGAGGGGAGGTAGAATAGCAGATGCCAAAGTCTCTTCATCACATAACTGAGTAAGATCACAGAGGGCCCTATTAGAACTAATTATAATCACAGATAAGGAGCTAAACCAAAGCCTTTTTTCTGTTAAGCTCCACCAAATCTTTCATTCTCAGAGGTGAGCTCCTGGAGCAGGTGTGAATGAAGACTACTCTGACATTATGAAGCTGTTTTGAGCTTATCCTGAATTAGAAACTCAAACATAATACCCAATGTTTTAAATTGCAGGGATTTAACAAAAATGTGATACATTTTTGCTCAGTTTTTACTGCCTATTTTCATATCTTGAAATGACTATTGCGAGCTGTTAAGTCTTTAACTGTTTCCTCACTGGAAAATGCTGTAAAAATATGACTGATCTGAAAACTCCATAATGCACTCGCATGCCACCGAGGTCAAGGCTGAGGTCATCCCTGGTCTGAGTCACTGCTCTGAACCAAATGAACCAAACTCTGAGGAGTGGTGGTGTAGTGGTTAGCATAGCTGCCTTCCAAGCAGTTGACCTGGGTTCGATTCCCGGCCAATACAGCTCCTCCCTACCCTGTAAGTCGCTTTGGATAAAAGCGTCTGCCAAATGCATGAACATGAAACAACATGAAATGTGACCACAGGGGCTGGGGATCGATCCCATCAGGATTGCGACATGACATCACTTTTAACGATTCACCTCTTTTCTTTTTTTTTTTAATCGATTTTCAACTGAAGAAAATTCCACAGCTTTAGATTTGTATCTGTAATTTTCTTGTCTTTTTTCCAATTATTATTCGAGTGAAAAGTTTTGAAAAAACTAATGGTGTTCAATAATACAAATATGATCCGGTGTAGAACTTTTGTTTCTTTGGGACTATGACTCTGTTTGTTATTTAGTTCAGTTCAATATTATTTGTAACTCATTTTTATCTGTAGAAATTCCAAAGCTTTAGATTTGTATCTGTAATTTTCTTGTCTTTTTTCCAGTTATTGTTCAAGTGAAAGGTTTTGAAAAAATGAATGGTGTTCATTAATACAAATATTATCTGTTTAGAACTTCTGTTTCTTTGGGACTATGACTTTAGTTCAGTTCAATATTATTTATAACTAATGGTCATCTCTTGGCACCGCCAGGATTGAGCCAAATCAAAACCATAAAGCGGTCAATTCCAATTCATTCAGCTCTAGCCGAGGAAACCAACAGTATATGTCAACTATTCCAATGTTTTCCGTGGTGCGACTGTGGAAAAGAAAAGATTCCCTTTTATCAGGAATCCTCCGGTCGAGCCAGACTAAGGGAGGGTGACGTTGACTGTGCTCGACTCCTCTTAAGTCTCCGGCTGCCTTTGAAGTCAGCAGCTGTGTTTTATCTGCCTTTGTCGGTCAGGTTGAACATCCTGCTGGGTGGAATGACTCCGCTGTATTTCCACGCCGTCAACGTGTGCCTGCACTGCGCCGCCACCTGCCTGTTCATGTACACCTGCGACCGCTGCGTGTTCGGAGACCAGCGGCTGGCCTTCATCACCGCGCTCCTCTTCGCCGTGCATCCCGTCCACACCGAGGCGGTGAGTACCCGATACGCGCCTCACCATTCATTCATCTGCTCTGCCGTTTGGATTTTCCACGGGTCTCTCTGCACAAGTGATGGAAAAAATGAGAGGAGTAATGGTCATGCGGTTCATTGCGGCCTCAGATTTCATGGCACCATGTGGATGAACATTTTCGTTTCAGCTAAATTCTGCTTTATTAATGCATCAAAATACCTCAGAACAATTCAGACATACAATTCAGATAAATTAAAATCCAATCATTTGCCTTCCAGATTAGTCCGTTTCGTATAAAGCCAATGTATCTGGCTCATCTTTGCTCAGGAAACCAGTTGATTGCACGAACAATTCTTTTTTGGATTTAACACCCCCTTTCTTAGCACTCTACACCCAGGAATGGTGGCCATGTGATACAGGAGAGCCCCAAAACTGGAGCCAATAACCACCTTAACACCAGGTCAAAGTCACCAACTGAGAAAGAGAAACACAAGTTCGTCAAAACAACAAAGTCATACGTACACAGAGGGTAAAGTGAGCAGACCAAGTAAAGATACATCCTGGAATGTCCCCATCTGCATAAGGCTTTAGGAGTCTGACTATAGGATGTTTCAGAGACACCCCACACCATAGGCTTTGTAAAAAGGGAAGTTTTTATGAAGATAGAGAGGTTGTTTCATGGTCCCAAAGCTATTTCATTATTTTGTCTTTCCAAATGAATTTAAATTCCTCGAAGTTAGTGGAGTGCCGTTTTCGTTCAAGCTTTCCCGCATTCTACTTTAAGCATGCAGCTTTGAGCTGAACAAAGGAGCCATCTTCTAATGGCATATTAATTACGTTGTCAGAGAGACTCTTTTTGTCGACTTTGTGTGTAACTACAATACGTCAAAAGGATCATCAACTTGTGTAGGAGTACAGCTGTGCTCTTTTGTGTTAGTAAAAAATGATGGAATTCGTTTTAATTTGTTTAAGATCTTTATTTAACACAGACTATGACAAGGTTATTTGAGTTTATTTGAAAATTAGTTGGGGGAAAAAGGCTTAGAAGGACAAACTGTTAATTTTTCATTCTTAATGTAACGTTCAAGATCTTTAAAAAAAAAAAGAGATTTAATTATTTGTAAGGAACAGGGAGTTGGGTCTTAACTTGAAGACCACTTTATCTTTACTCAGAACTGATTTGAGATAAGTTCTGACAATCCAGATACTCAAAATAAGGTACAGGTGGAAGATATTTCTCCTGTTTTCTCTTTCAGAATCAGGAATTCCAAATGGTACAACTAATCTTGGGTCTAGAACTAATAACCAACCTAAATTTAAAGCTGTCAACAGATAGGAGATAAACCGATCCATTGGGGCTTTGGTTCTCCCGCATGTCTGTTGTTGTGAGGAGGGAGCTAAGCTTGAAAACCAAGCTTGTAATTCAGCGATCCATCCTCTCTCCACTCCTCACCTACCGTCAGAAAGTGTAGGCTGTGCCAGCATGATTTGAAGGGTAACTGGACTCAGCCTTAAATCTCAGATGAGGAGCTCAACCATTCAGGATTGGCTCAGGATAGAGCCACTGATTGATCCTTCACACTGAATGAGTCGGCTGGATTTTTTTTGCATGCTTCTAAAGACTCCTCATGGTTTCCTCTCTTTTGATCCGTTTGAGCATGTGTAGTATGGAGGTGGAACTAAAGCAGGATGAGAACATCAGGGGGACGGGGACTTAGTTTGGGAACAGTCACCGGCATTATGAGGTTTTGGACAACCTCATCCTCTTCTCTGTATTGGTTATCTTTAAATCAGTTTTATGCCCCAAAGATCTGGAACAGTTATCCTGAAGAAATGAGACCGGCCTCAACTGACAATGTTTAAATCCAGGCTGAAAATGGTTCTTAAAGTGCTCTAAATTTTTGATTAATTTAATCAGTGGTTACATTTCAGCACTTGATATGGAAAGCGACCCTAGGTTGATTAGACGTCCATTAGAACTGAGAAGCCTCCACTGCCTCAGTCTGTTGATGGTAAGCGCTTGGCTGAGGCTGATTCTACCACAATGATTCTTCCTTTTACTTGGTTTCTGCTCCCTGAGCAGTTCACTGCTGGGGGCCAGCTTCCTGATGTGGTTCCGCCTGGATAGAGGCTTTGATGCCTACTAGCCAGCTTCTCTATATTTTTCTAAGTGTAATCCTACACTGAAACCCTTAGTGAATTGCGAGGAGCTGTCTTGTCTTCTATATCCCCCCTTTGGCTCAACTGAAATACCCACAGACTGTCCTATTTGAACTACCATAAGTGTGTAAAATCTAATCTTTCTTTATATTAAAGTGTGGAGCCATTCAGTGGGGAAGTGAAGTCTAATATTTCTCCTGGAGTTGATTCACTCATTTCTTCAAAGCTTAAAAGAAGACAATTCCTCCCGAGGTTTCTGGTTGATTATCTTGCGCTTCTACTTCCTGTTTGGAACACACTGCTGACTCAAACCTATTCAACAGATCTGTCTCTGGGTTAATGTTATGATTAGGGTTAGCCGAAGAGGCTAACCTTAAATAGGAGTCTTGGGCCTCTTTGTCCCAGATTTGTTCACTATTATATGTTTAATAAGCACTGGACCTCAACAGACCGCATCACAGAAGCCGTCCCTTCTGTCCACGGTGGCCATCTGGCAGTCACTCACTCAGTCCATATCCAATGAAGGCCGCTCCTGTTTCAGAGATGAAAAGCCTCCATTCATTAATACGCACTCTCCTCTTACGGCTGATAGAATGCTCGCCATATGTGGACCCTTTCAGCCACGTGTTCGGCCACTTCTCGGACTCACTCCTACACAGAAAATAAGCTGTTCGTGACCCTTTTTTTGTGTGGTAAAGACCAGAGCCTCATTCTCAAAAGCGTGTTCGCATGCAAAAAGCTGAGCACGTGCCAGTGTCCATTCACAGTCACCACGTTTTAAAGAAGAGGAGCATTTCTGTGGGTTTGAGTTTGTCTAACCAAGCTGTGTTTTCCCACTTCCTCTCCCTCTTTGCTGGGGTTTAGAAGCAGTGAGGAGACAGCAGCGCCGCTCGAATTCCTGGTTAATTATGCAGTGGGTGGAATTAAAGAATTTAAATAAATAGATAAAGCAATATCTAAAACAATTAAATATTTATTTGTGTTTTTTTTTTTTTTAAATGACTGGATTATTTTATTCTTAGCACCCGTTCTGAACTTGCTGGTTTACCTGGTATACATGCACAATACAATACAATACAATACATGGATTAATGATACAAATACCCTGAAAACCCCAGATATACCACTAAAGTTTTACCATTTGAGTGGCATGTAAATTAGTGGAACAGTTCAATTGAATTTCAATTCAATTTTGTTTATATCTCAACAGTTATCTCACAGCGCTTTTCAAACAGTGCAGGTCAGCACCTACTCTCAAGTTATTTACAGAAGCCCAACCATTCCTACCAAGAGCAAGGCGACACAGGCAAGAAAAAAACAGTTCATCATAGTATCACAGCACCAATATCACTGTTACATTGCAGTTAAATTGGTTGTCAGGCTAATCAAATTGCTCTTATTTTGTGCAGATGCGTTTCAAGGAGGATTTGATGGGCTTTGTGGGTGCTAAAATTCGCCAAATTCAGACATATAGCAGAAAAACACAATGGCAAGAACAGCAACTGCTGGAGGCTCTGAAGTTTAAGAAAAAAAATGTTTTTTTTTTTTTTTTGCCAGTGCTGGTAGACAAAGCGGAACAGTTTTGGGTGTATTTCTAGGCTTTCTCACCTACCTGGCTGCGTGTCAAGTGGGATCTATTATTCTCGTGGAAAAGGCTTTGCGTGTTGGATGCTTAACTGAACTAAAACTGAAGAAGACGACGTTGGCACAAATGTGTCTTCCTCGAGCAGCTCAAGTGGCGCGTCTCATCAACATCCAGCTGAGTTTCCGGCCCACTGAGTGTGTGTGTGCTTGCATGTGTGTTGCAGGTGTCTGGGATTGTGGGCAGGGCTGACGTCTTGGCCTGTTTGCTATTCCTGCTGACATTCCTCTCCTATATTAGGTAAGACAATTCTATGCCACCCTGTTATCTACGCTCACACACACTCTTGCAGACTGACAAGAAATGCCTTTAGGTGTGTGCGTTGTTTGCTATCATAATAGGCAAACATGCGCTTTTTTTTCCTTTTTTTTCACACACAAGCTTGTTATATTGACTCCCATTTTCTGTGAACAACCCAACCCAACCCCTTAATCTGCCCGAGGGACCCAGGAAGCCGAGCTAAACACCCCTCCCACTCAGCAGGATACCACCGGCTAAGAAAGATGTTTTTCGATCTCCGACCTATGGAGATCCAATTGGGCTTTTAAAACCTTTAAAATAGAATAAAACCTGCCCAAGGTAAAGACCGTCAGAGAAACTGTAAGCAGAGTGTATTTAAACAGCCCATTTTTGGTATAATCTGTGCAGGGTTACATGCTGCAGATGGCTTTTATCCCTTCACATGCTCATAATTCTGAAATGAGACAAATGTTATCACTACTGCCATTCCACAGGGCAATTTAGTCACCGTACTGTCCATCTAATTAAATTAAATTGAATTGAATGTGTCCTTGTAATTGGAGTGTTCTCTATATTAGCAAGGAAATAGGTGGCATTCTGCATCTAGTGGATTTATTAGGCGTGAGCTAATGCAGATGGAAAGAAGAGGATTGTGCTGAGCAGATCAAATTTTTGAATGTGATCTAAGGACAACAGGAAAAATAATAATACCCGCAGCTCCGGTTCTGCTCATGACGGTACCACAGCGACTCTTATGTCCACATTTTCTGCTCAATGAAACCTACTAAAAAGTCATTTTCCATGTTTTTAGATTTTCATTTAACCCTGTAATGCCAAATATATTTGATACATACGGTTTCTGAAATGTTTTGCATCTGACACCTTTTGCATAATTTAATGGTAAAAAAGTTTGCTCAAAATCCTATCCACAATCCACAATCAGATACACCTGATAATAGGGGGCAGAAGACTACACAAAAAATAATATTTACTTATCACATAGTAATAAATCATTAATATTAAAAATGAATTTCAGTTTTTTCTTTTTACATATTTTGTTAAAAGGCCAAATAAGGAATTCAAACAAAAAAAAGTACTTTTCTGTTTTGTTTTATTCTTGGATCAGGCTTTAAAGGATTGGCAGTTCTTGAACGCGTCGTATGCGCCTCTCTGATTCTTCTTCTTTGTTTATTCTGCTGTTTTGGCAGGAGCGTGGGGGATGGCCTTTCCATCTCGGAGGACGCCCTGCCGTCCACAGCGTCAGTGTGGTCCCTGCTGCTCAGTCTGCTGCTGGGCACCTGCGCCATGCTGGTCAAGGAGACGGGCATCACCGTGTTTGGAGTGTGCCTGCTCTACGATGCTCTGGTGCTGTGCCGCAGGCCTCTCGCGCAGTAAGCACCGAAGCTTCTCGTTTGGTGTATGTTTACTCAGCGCAGCTGAACTTGTAACATCTGCGCAATGCTCGCTGCAACCACAGACGATTTGTTTATCAGAAAAGAGTATTGCTTTTCTTTTTTCTCCCCTTCTTTTTATTATATTTCATGGTTCTTCATTTCCATTCCTTATCTCAAAGGCTTTTCTTAGTTGAATAACAATTTATAATAATAATGTTAAAATGTGTGACACTCAACTTAGCTTGACCCAAAAGACTTAATGGGGACATATCAATCATACAAAAAAACCCTCTTTTTGTGCTTAAGAACATATGTTTGGGTCTCTGAAGTCACTTCCCACTTAAAAAAGTTTTTATAAAAAGTTTTTTTTAATCATAATTAGCATTACAGTATTTTTAACTTCCAATTTGTTTTGTCTCTATCAGTTCCTATCAGCACAAAATCAAATTGCCATAATAAAGGCAAAATAATTCAAATTTGAGCAACGTGTTTGCTCTGAGTTTCTTAGGTTGTGTTCAGTATGCTCTTTCACACTATAATAATGGTCCTCCAGGGATTATCCTACATCCCCGATTCAAAAAGAGGCGGATTCCACTTTCGCCTGAGCCGTAAACTGGTGAATGAAGAAATATCTACCATCCTGTCTCTTTTTTACAGTCAGGGTGCAAAGCAAATTCTGGACGGGTCATTCCTGGCCTTTTTTATTTTAAAGAGACTCCACAAAAGCGCAGATGTGATAAACATCAGACTTTGTATTGAACAAGGGGGGGGGGATCAGGAGTGTCTTTTCACTTCTGCATCGCCATCTTTCAACTTGCTCTTCACATCTGTTTTTCTCTCCACTTTCTGATCGTCACATGGGGAGAACACCATGCCCCAGAGCTTATCGTGCATGTGTTTCTGCCGGTGATGTGACAGTAGTAGTTATTATTAGAGGCTGTATAATTTCTTATATTGATTAATACATTTGAATTCCATATATTCCATAATATTTGTGGAATATTTGGATTTCCATATATTACAACTCTGACGAGGGAGTTAACGACCCATCAGAACGCCCTAACAAGCATTAACACCCCTCCATGGCCCATCGAGTAGGAGGGATCAGACACTTTTTGGTTATTTTCTCCTAATTATTTTGTTACACCTACAGTATATAAATCTAATTGATCCCCACCATCAGTACAATAAATAAACCTCTTGGATGAGAAGCGAAATGTCCTTTAGAAAACTTCACGTCCAGTTGCCTAAATTGGAGTTTTCAAGCTTGACCATGACCTGGATGAGGATCTTCACAGATATATATTTTTAGGGCGTTACCACATTAAAACCTGTTTTAGTTTGCAGCTAACAACTAAACGTTAGGCCCATCAATAATTGGATGGAGAATAAAGCCTTTAAAGCCCTTTTTTAAAGCTTTTGTTTCCCCCCCTATCACCGATCAATCAATTACGTTTACATTTCAGCCATAGATATCGTCAGTGTTGTTAAAGGTGTCTGAAGTTTTTCATGCATTATTTGCATCCGTGTGGATTTTTTAAAATGCCAAAAGGTGGCTACATTTTCGAGCTAATGCCCAAAACACCTGCAACAACACTCTGCATGACGTCCTTTAAGAGATCCACCGCTTCAACCTTTGAACAGCGCTTACACCAGATGTTCCAAATCACCATGTCCAAACAAGGCTGTTAGCGAGACAGATGTTCCTTCTGTCTGCAGAGGCCAATTAGAAGTAGAGGTGCATGTTAGGGCATACATATGTTTTCTTCAGGTTAATGGTTATGCATGAGATGCCTTTGTGTGTGAGTTTGTCTGAGCTGATGGTGCATCCAGATGGTTCAGAGCCCCTGTTTAGACCTGGTCTGGAATGTCCCGGTAGATATTCTGGCTGAGCCTATGATGAGAGTAAGGCTGGCAGACTTCACTTCTTCCTTTTGGATACAAACGAGCTCTGCCGTCAGGATGGAGTCCAGTGAGCGGGATGCTGTAAAAACTTTCCCTCCGCTAAGAAAAGAGGGTGGCATGAAAATCCTGCAATTAGATTATGGGGGAATGCTCACATGAGGGAGTCACAATGAGATGAAAGGAAAGCTCCAGTATTCTTTGGGGCATTTCAAATCCACGGTGAGGGCCACATATTGGTTGTTGTCATTGGATTTAGAGGTATTTGCATAAAAGGGGAAATCTACACTTTCTTTTATTCCTGCCGTTCCTCGTAGACAAAGCAGTGCTCAGTTGTTGGGGAAAAGATCCTCATAATCGGCTTAACTTCCTGTCTTTTGTCTTATTTTTGTTTCCTTTGAACAAGCAGCATCTTGGAATCAGTAAGAAATGCTGCGAATGGCATTTAACAGAGGACAAAGTCAAAGATTTCACGGGGAGGTTACTATGACAGCATCTTTAAGTGTTGTTATTCTTCTTTCTTTCTTTTTTTTTTTTACAAGGAAAAGCACATTTCACAGTCACCGTTATCCCAAAAGAATAACCAGCTACTAATTTAATTTGAACTTTAATTTATTCTCAGCAGCTGCCAAGTTGCCAGTAGAGTCTCTGAAAAAGACTCTCTGAGACAGAGAGAATGAGAATATCTGTCATAGACAAAGAGGTTCTGTAAGTGGGACATAAAACTCTGAAATACAGCAGAATATTGAATATAGATGTCTCTGAGTGAGTATCCAACATTTAATATTTAATTTTAATCGTATTGTCTTTACTCCCAGACTTTAGTCCTCCCAGGTCAAATCGATAGTCTGTTTCGACTGCTCTTAAAGGTGTAAAATGATCAACATACTTGCTATTTATTTATTTTTATATTATATATAATATTTTACACATTTTTTATGCGGTATAATAGTTTAATTGAAATTCTACCACGTTTTTTTATGAGCATAGGCACAAAGTAGATGTAAAACCACTGACTTGTACATGAAATAGTAACACAATTCTGTGTTAGTCGACTCGTCACCATCACGTTACTATGATTCTTTTTTCAAACCAGTACATTTTTTTCAAAAAAGTAGAAAAGTATTAACTATTTAAGTCATTTTCAGGAAATTATATGACTCTCACTTTTGAAAAAGATCAAAATGAGCCAAAACGAACATGAGGGTTAAGCAGTTGTTATGCTTGTAATTCTGGAGCCAAGTGATACACGGACAGGTAAACAGTTTCTGAATTCTGTGCTCGTGATAATTGAAATAACCATTTCTATGCTTGAAATGCGGCAGGCCGAAAGGCAGAGATAAAAGCATCTCGCAGAGGTCAACAAAAATCAACAGAGCCTGGATCAAAGCTCAGCCCTGCTGTGTCGTGTGCTTACCGGCTTGCACACTCAATACATCCCTGGGTTCCTCTCCCTCACAAAATTACAGCCGGGCTGGGGGGAAAAAAATTGAAAAATGTGTGCATGAGGTGTCCATAGAGCCATAAACTTTACATGTAACATGCTGCTGTTTACATAAGAAAACATATTTACCTGAGTTAAAAAGCCTACTAATTATGGGGAATCTGATCATTTTTAATTCTGATCTGACTCTTTTTTTTAGATTCTTATTTATTAATTTTTTTTTTACTTGCATAGCAAGATTTTTTAAATTGCATGTTGGGAATAAACGTCTGTACAAGAGGGTGGCGCTCGAAGGATTCACACGATGAAAGTTTGATGAGACGTGTCCCCCGAAGATGCCGAGAGGAGAAATCGAGGCGTTTGCGAAATTTCTTAGTCACATAACTGTATATCCCATCATACCGTTTATATGGTCACTTGAAAAGTTTGGCACCCCCAGAAATGGGATAACAGTCAAATCTCTGGTGTCCGTAGACACTAAAAATACTGGAAGTAGTTCTCTTCAGTTGTTGTTCACCTGTTCTAATGATATGAGGACTAATTTACCAAACATCCAGCAGCCAGTAGGGATGACTACCAGTACCCCCAAAGGCTAAACGGCCTTCCCCCCCACACTCCAGTTAGCTTCAATTAGAGATAAAACATTAAAATGGACCATCTTAAACTTGATCTCAAAGATGTTTAGTGGAGTCAAGTTGTGGACAATTGTTTGGATTCAACAGTTCATTTTCATAAGACTTTCACAAGTCTTTTGAATCCTGACACAGTAACCTTGGAATATGGCTCCATCACTGGGGGAATATCTATTGATCGTAAAAGCTGCTGTTTATACTCAGGAAGGGAGCTGACCTCATCCTTTAAGGCGGAGCAATTAAAAAGATACCCACATTGGTTAGTTTTACATTAGTTGTCCAATAACTTGGAAAATATTCAGCACTGCTGTAGAAAGAGACTCTTTACTCCTTTAGTTCTAGCTTATTTGGCCACACATGTTCTTGCTCAGGCAGTCTGTGATCTATTTTAGCTCAGGTTATTAGAATTCTATTCAAATTATGGTGGTTTATTAAAAGCAGACGAGCAAAGGAAACCTGCGGATTACATTAATCTGGTATTTTGTAACCGGAACAAATCTAATGTGAGCAGTGCTCACTGCAAGCCCAGCAGATGACTGAACTACTACATGGCTCCACTATCTGTGGACTTAGCCTCGTTAATCTTCTGACGTCTGTGCCGCGACCCTGGTTAGAAAACCATTTATAAAATGCATGTGTTAATAAAAGCATTACCTCGCGGAGCCTTAAAGAAAAGGCCGTTCAGACTGGGATGAGCGTGCGTTCAGTCACAAATAATGAGGAATGATGGATGCGGAGACGGCTGGACAGTATTTGTTTTTGCAGCTTAATTGAGCATCTGTTCCATGTTCCTCCCGGACATATTTGATTGGTGACAGGGGGGAGGCAGAGCGTGTTTTCTGCTCCTCTCGAGGATTTAGCTCTCTCTTTATTTCCTGCCGTTTTCTCCCAGACTATGTTGCAGTTCCTGTACATTTCATTTACTGCACTGTCTTTGCTTGTCCACATGGGCAAACATTAATAACTCTATATCCAACCCTTCCTGGAATGAGACTGAATATCTACTTGACAAAATACAC